TCCTGCTGTGCTCCTCCACTACGTCCCTTTACTGAGACGCAGGCTGTTGGCACTGCCCTGTTGGTGCAGGACCTGACAGTTATTTCCCTGGATTAGTTGACAGGGAGCCACGAAGATTATGACTCAGAGGGCTGACAGAGTTCAAGAGGCTCACGTGCAGTACCACAAATCAGCTGAGGATGAGAGGTGGAAGAGGAGGTGAAGAAGTGGAATGAGAACAAGCAACCGTGGCCAGCTCGCTTCTGCTCCAGCCACAGGTTGGTACGTGCGAGACTGTGGTACCAGTGTCCAACCTGCATAGCACAGTGGTGGTAAAACAAAATTTGACCCAGGCAAATGGGCAGTTTTCTGATTTTAAACACACAGTACCACTACTCACTTCTGAATAGTGACAGTCCCATCTCAGATAAGCTCAAGGTGATAAAGCTGAAGTAAGAACAGGTCTAGCTCTTAGACAAGATCTTTTGGCAAAAAAAGCAGGAGAAAAGACTTAATCTTCCTTTTATCTCAAGTTTGATCATAAAGCTCTCTGTTTATTTTCCCCCCTCCCATCTGCAAACATAGGTAATTCATTTTGAAACGGTACAGAATATGGAGGTTTCCACATCATCTGTTCAGCAAAAGTACTGCACGTGCACAGAGCAAGCCAGGGTGGCTGCGTCTGTAATGCCTAGAGCCAATTCTGTGAGAAATCCCTGTGCCTCAGAGAGGATTCACCATATTAAACCCACATCTGTCTTGAGCACAAGCTGCTGTATGTAAAAAGCTATGCTGGAGAAAAGAGGGAAAAAGATTGGGGGAGAGGGAGGAGAATATGCAGTTTGAGAACAGTCAACTCATTACACATGCTAACAGTATGTATTGAATATCAATCTCCCCACAAGGGCCATTAATGTGAAAAATCCCTGACCTCTCTCAGATTAGCTGGGAACTGATGATCAGAGCTGGAGAGAGGCTTAAACCAGTCAGAACATAACAGAATAGTGTTTAAAGGCATTGCACGTTGAGCCATGCAAAGCATTACTTCCTTCTCCTACCAGGAAAGGGTGCAGGCTGCTCCACAAAGCAAATAAGTACCTCACAAGAAGGGGAGGTTCTCAACCAGCTATCACAACCAGCTGTGAGCCAAGAAAAGAGGAGTCAAGAGAAGCAAAGTCAGTCAGTCACACAGGCCTAGAAGCTTAAAACAAAACAAAACAAAAAAAACACACCACCACACACAGAAAATGAGCTGACTCAAGCCATCAGAGCAGCTGGTCTGGAATTTAAATAGACAGATATATTCTTCCCCCTCAAAAAAAAATTTTTTTTTGCTAGCCATCAGTAATCTTAGAGGATTTTCTTAGCTTTGTTTCCCTTCTTGTTTCTAGGAGACAGAACCTCAACTAGCTACTGCAAAAAAGAACAAACCAAAAGGAAAGTGGGGCAAGGAAAAACAAGGGGAAACAAATCAGAGGATAGAGCATCAGCATCAGAAGCAAAAAATTCAACACTTTCTTCTCCACAGCCCCCTGCAAAGCTTACTTTGCTACTCACTGCATGATAAACAACCCTAACAGAGACCAAATTAAGGAACTTTGGGTTTATTTCACTTGTCATCATAAGAACAGGTGAGTGAAGATGGCAGCCGAAAGACCATCCAGGGGGATATGATTTTCTGCCTTATGCTGTCATATCTCCCAAGTCAAGAGCCCCACATGAAAGTGGTGGCCTAGAATATCTGCAACACTCCATGCCTTTAGCCTTCATGGGAGACATGAAGAAAAAGCTGTCCTGTAATGCAAGCATCCCATCAAACACTACCAGAGTAAGCAGGGGCAAAAGCCTCACTAGGGTCAGAGAGGAGAAAAGATAAAAGCCTCCAAAAAAAAAAAAAAGAAAGAAAGAAAAAAAAAGCATTAAGAAGGGATGGGTAACACTCAGCTCTTTGGCACCACTGTGGAGCTGGAATGAGCTTGGGTTGCATTGGGAATAGCTTATTTGAGGAAATTGAGAGACTCCAGGAAAAAGAAAACCCAGAAAAGCAACAGTATTAAAGAAAGTAGTAATAATTTAAACAAACCAGAAACCAGAGTAAGATTCTGCTCAAAGAGCCCCAAAGCTTTTACTGTTCAAGTCCCCATTCAAACAAGCATCCGTAGGCTTGGTCTAGATGAAGTCAGGATGCCTGTGGCACCTGCTTTGATCACTACCAAATGAACCTAGATATGCTGAAACTGGTTTCAGGACAATATAGAGCCGTTGCATAAATTCAGCTTTCAAGGGTAAGACACAGGAGCAAAAAGCATGCAAGTGTCAGGATTGCTAAACCTCAGCAGGTGAGCAGAGGGCTGAGGAAATAATGGGAGCACCTGGAAGCCAGCTGAGGATGACCAAGTTGCACGCACAGGTCTTGATGCAACTGAGCATGCGTCAGGATCGGCTTCCTACACCAGCCTCGTGAGAAGTTTCATTGTATAGTAACTTCAAACAAACAGGAACAAAAATAAATAAAATCAATGAAGCCAATGAAACAGTAATGCCAGGATTCTTGCAAATCACACAGACGAGAAATTCACTGGAAATGAGAATGGAGGAAAAAAATGCAAGCTGAACTTGCAGCTGCATTTGAGATCTGCACCAGTCCCCTGCTCATGTTTTAACTCCTTAACAAATGCTATGTAAAATGGGCACAAAAAGATTGTCTGGACTGCAACAAATCACATCAGCATCATAAAACAGGCTAGCCGTGGCACAAAAGCAGCAAGTCAGATGAAACATCAAATCGTTAAACGCACATCCAGCATATTCCATAGGTCTCCCACCCAGACCCTGTGGTGCTACCAACAACAAGAATTCCTCTGCAAAGCCCCAAGGCCCCACATAACCTTCTAATCCCCCCCAAAGAACCCCCAGGTGTCCTCATGCTTGTTTACATTGATGTTTGGCACATACAGGCTTATCAGATGAGATCACTGTTAACAAAACTAGTTTATCTTTAGTTGTTCAGGAGCCCTAAGCACCTCAGTCTACTGCACTTACTTTCTTCTTTCTCTCCTTGCCCTCTTCAAGCATGAATATACTCAGCGTCAGAAGAGATGCAGAGGAAAAGGCAACACACATTGAAATATATTTGCCTGTCTCCAGAGTTCAAGCACAAAGGATGTAGTAAAGTACAGATGTAGATCTCAAACCGTCTTCAGTTAACGTAAAACAAACAAAAACAAAAAACAACAGTAACAAAAGTAGTAAAAGGCCTTATAAGGACTCAGCTGGAGAAGCTCATCTCAACGCACTGCAGAAACCCTATGAGAAGGCAGACAAACTGAGGTATGCTCAGCTGCGTTTACCTTCAGGGCGCTCTCAGAAAGTAGTCCAGGTGAGGTTCCTTTGAAAGTTCTTTTCCTGTTGACACAGCTCCAAATGCTGACAAGCTCCATACCAAAGCAAATGAATACTAACGAAGCACAGAAACCTTGCTCCCAGCGGCTCCTGACAGAAGAGGGCATGAACTGGGCAGAAGACAACAGAGCAAGCAGGGCAGCCTGTGATGATCACAGCCTAGAGACTTTTTTGATCAGATGAGTCTTATCCATCTGAGACTGCGTATCCCCACCACGTTTGGTTTTTGGCCCAGACATCATAATCAATATGACCTGTTCAAAGTTGGGTGTATTATACAAAGTACACTTCTACTCGCATAGACCTCAGATTAAAAAAGCAATGGCTAACAGGGAACATTTTTAACTGGTTTTTAGAAGTAGGGAAAGGCAAAAGTTTCTAGTCAGCTTTACCAACCCCATCTCTCATTTCATCAACCAACACAGAATCCTTAAGTGTCACTAGTTTGTCTCTTGTACACCTGAAAATGCCATCTATAATTCTTGCCAGAAGTTCCTTTCTTCCAATTCTAGCTTTCATGTCTTAAGAGCAAGCCTATGCTGCTTGGAAGTACTGCCCTCCTTCTTGCCCTATAGCTTGCTGACCAGCAAAATAAACTAGCTTGGAGGGAGAGCCAAGTTCATATTGCACTTCTACGATCCAGTTTAGAGATGGCCAGAGTATCTCTATGTGGCGTTACATTGGGCAGTAAAGGCTTTTCCTGAAGAGTCACTCTTCTCTCTTCCCAATCTATTCCCATTATGCTATCATATCTTTCCAGCTAAGTCATAGGCCTCCTCCACCTCAATACCCATGCCTCCACTTGTTATCCTTTCAAAATTTTTCAGGGGCTGCTCTCTTTCAGAGAAGTCCCACCCCACAGACGAGTAACTTTGACATGCTCCGCTCCTCTAGCGACACCTGAGAGCTGGCTAGAAAACTGGGTGAGCGAGGTGAGCTCCAACTTCAGTAAGACCAGAATCTGTCCCAGGATGTCTATGATTTTCGCTAAACGTGCGAATCAGAGCCACCTCTCCACCCCTCTGCTCCCTCTTGGAGCTCTTTTGTTGTCCAAAGTATCCTTCTGGATGTCTCCACTTGACTTAGACTGAGGTTGATAGATGGGTTGCATTCCAGAGAATCCACACGCAAGGGGCTATTGGCCTGAAATTTTTCTCACATTTGGATGAGGAAGCCAAATGGCAAGCCAAAAAACATGGCAAGCCAGAAATCACAGGACATGCACAAGGAAGGTTTTTTGCACCATCAGCTGTCAAGTCATAAAAAGCATCACCTGCAACATTAGGTACTCACTGGCTCGAATACCCCACCGATTTACACACAAGTTCAGCACACTACAGAGCCTAGTTAAGGCGGCCAGAATGTATTTAACTCCCAGCTTAGACCAAGAGAAGGGAGAGCTAAAAGGGATTCAGTTAAAAATTGACAGGTAACAGGCAATCCCTCTCCCATGCCAATTAAACTAACAGTGCCAAGTCTTATCATTCTCCTGTGCTAAGAGACTAAAGACAGGTTAATAGCCTCCCTATCAAAGGCCATATTGGAAACACCCTGGATCTTTAGGTTGACATATCAGTCCTGGTTTATCTTAGCTTTGAAGAGCATGATTAGTGACTCACCCTGCTGGATAAGCAACGAGTCCGGTTCTGGGGTCGCAGGCTAATCCTCTGCCTCCCGACACGGTTATCCCCAACACTTTTTCCAAGGTCACCTAGTATATGTGAAAAAGAAAACAGGAAGTATCATGAGAAGAGTGCTGTTCAGATGGACCCACGCACAGATGCTGATGCTATGATGCTTCACAGTGGCACTGAAAAACTACATCCCCTAGAAATCACCTACAAGCAGCCAGTAATAGAAGTGACCCTACTCGTTCTTAATATAGGTATACCAGCATACTGCTGAGGTACAGCAAAGGAGTTACTATTCTCCCAATTGCTTTGTCTATGAGCACTGCAAAACACTGCAAAGGCAAAGCACTGCAAGCAACAGCTAGTACCGAGTGAGAAGTTGGGAATCACAGGGCAGTGAACATATACCCCATCCTCCCAACAAGAGCAACAAACCACTTTCTCCAGAGTGTTTCCCTGGGAGTCTTTTCCAGGCCGACTTGGCCACTCTCATCCCCTCTCCTACAGCAGGTGGTCCAGTCTGGTCTCAGCCTCACGCTCCTAGGAGCTGAACAGTCATTTTTTCCCTGCAGTGCTTGAATTGGAAGCCACATCAAGTGGACTAGTGCAGCCCTTCCCAGGGATCCCAAGAGAGGGAGCAGCTCACATAATTGGGGTCACAAACCCACATACCAATGGCCCATTCAAGAGACAGCACCAAAAATATGCTTGCTTTCTCCCCCTGAACAAAGACCTCAGCTATTTCAGGAAAGAAAATAAATGCAATTGCAAAAAGCTATTTAGAGGATACAGAAATTTATAGCCAGATCTATGCAGCAAGAAGTTGGGAAAAGCAAAAAGAAAAGCTGACCAGGGCCAGGGTGGGGGGAGACGAGACATTTTAGGGGAACGCTGTCAGGCAGAAGCAGCATTAGAATTCAGCAGTTTCCCTGGAGCAAGAGGTTGCTATGGGATTACACTGCACAAAACCCAGTCTGTGGCATGAGAGAACTTAACCTCCGAGAACTCTGCTCTCAGCCCTGAGGTTGTTCTAATGGACACAAAATTATTCTCTTTCCTTTACTCTTTCCACAGCTTGGTTTTATTTATTGTCTATTTTATGCATATATTCCTCCTCAGCATTGCTATCCCTGCCAAATTCATGGATTTTACAAGATCATAGTCTTCTGGTTTTAATTATCATCATCTAAGTAATACTTGGTTAAGGTCTTAAGGCATGGATGTGGCACAAGAAATTATTATTGTAATAATTACTATTAATAATAGTAGCTGCCGTGAAGACCAACACCTTATATTTATACCAACATGGTGCACAAAGACACAGAGGCAGAGCAGGCCTCTCCACACTACCTGGACAACACAGCTTACCAGACCTGAAGAAGTCAGCTGTAGGGTGAAAAAACTAGGTTTCAGAGAAGGTGACAGAAGTAGTATCATACACAGAGTTACCATGCTTCAACAGGTAGAACAGGGGTCAGGCTCCCTCAGCTCACTTAAAGCGAGCCTTCCATGCTTCAACTACTTCCAATTTGGACTGGCTTCAGTGACACGTTAAGTGGAAGATTTTATATCCCAATCTCTGGAGCAACTTAGTCCCCATTCTTCTTCTCCCTTTAAGTAGTAATATGCCCCAGATGTTTTGAGATCATGTGAGAGAACACAAAATTGTCCCCTTCCCTTGCAAAATAAGCATCTCTGCAAACATGGCTTTTACAAAATTTCCACTGGATTTTTCTTTAGTATAAGAACATGCTATTAAAAATGCATCTACAAATCCACCAGCAAAGCAAGGAAATACTTTTGCTTCAACGCAATATTCAAAAGGAG